TAAAAGTCTGAAGTATCTGATTGAACAAACGAAAAAGAAAGTACTTTTTCCTGAAAAATTAAATTTATCTTCAGGTAAGCCGAGCGCACATTTTTCCTTAACTCATGAAAAAAATCCCTCTGGCTCCGGGTCAGGTGTCCTCATGAGTTATGAGGACACTTGATCCAGAGGGATTTTAGTCACTTTGCGGTCAGTGGTTTCACCAAGCATTACAGGTCAGCAGATTGTAGTCAACTTCAGAAATGTTGACACTTAATAGACCTTTCCCCTTTTGAGTGAAATTTTGATCTAGACAAGTCTGGACAAAAATTTCATCACAGCTTGAAAGAGCATCACAAAATTAGTAATATTCTGAAGTTTCGTTGCGAAATGTTGTAAAATGCGGATAATATAGCCTTGCGAAGTTTGCCGTTTTTCAGTCATTTTGTATTACAAATGGGAAATTGATAATCAGTGGTAAAAATGGTATGTATTTCCCGTTTGTAATACAAAATGACTGAAAATGGCAAACTTCGCAAGGCTATATTATCCGCATTTTACAACATTTCGCAACGAAACTTCGGAATATTACTAATTTTGTGATGCTCTTTCAAGCTGTGATGAAATTTTTGTCCAGGCATATCTAGATCAAAATTTCACTCATAAGGGGAAAGGTCTATTGTAGGAAAAGAAAATGAAACTACACAGTCTTTCTATTTATTTGCCTCCAAATACAAGACTACTACATATAATGAAAAGAATTAACCCATCTATCGCACGATAGTAATCAGTGAAAGTTGTGAAACTCATATTGATGAACTTTTTTCAGAACTTCGCGGGTTGATTCATGGCATTCTCGTGTATGATGCGAACTCGAGAATGTCACTTCATGAAATTTTGTTTCATCCCTGGCTGGCCATGACTAAAGTACCCAAACAGGTATAAAACACTTAATTAACTTCATCTGTTTATTTATGCTGGTTAGCTCTATCAGTTCCAAACTGTTCTTCCTAGAGATCCAATAAGAATCATCTCGTATTGATCCAGTGTTACTACAGGAGGAACACTAAACTAATCTAACTTTATTTATACTGGTTAGCTCTATCAGTTCTAAACTGTTCTTCCTAGAGATCCAATAAGAATCATCTCGTATTGATCCAGTGTTACTACAGGAGGAACACTAAACTAAACAAACTCTATTTGTACTGGATAGCTTTATCAGTTCTAAACTGTCCTTTCTAGAGATCCAGTAAGAGTCATCCCTTATTGATCCTGTGTTACTACAGGAGGAAACCTAAACTAACTTTATTTATACTGAATAGCTCTATCAGTTCTAAACTGTTGTTTCTAGAGATCCAGCACATATGCAGTTGTCTAATTATAATTTCACCAAATGAAACCCCACGTGACAGACACATGCACCAACCAATGTGCTTCCAACATCCCATTTCATGTTTTAGGCGCCATCTTGTACAGCAACTCGTAAAATATATCGCTCGGAAAACGAAGGTGAGAACAAACCAACACCCTGTGTTACTGGCACTGGGACGGTTGCCTTGGAGAGAAGACCCAGGCCTTTAGGAGTACCTCGGCCACAGAAGAAGCCACGAAGACCACCTGTGCCCTCACCCGTGCAGTTCCTAGGTATGTGAGTGCATGGAACTATCATTTAACAAGAATACACGATTCCTGGTTGGTTGCTGTAAGAGTTACTGGGCAGCAGTTGGTGGTCAGCTTCAGTAATGTTGACATTTATAGAGCAAGAAAATGAAACTACATCTCTCAATGGACCATTTGCATTATAGACTAAGTTTTGATCTCAACAAGTCTAGATAAAAATTTCATCACAGCTTGAAAGAGCATCACAAAATTAGTAATATTCCAAAGTTTCGTTGTGAAATGTTGTAAAATGCGGATAATATAGCCTTGCGAAATTTGCCGTTTTTCAGTCATTTTCTATTACAAACGGGAAATTGACAGCCCCAAAGGGTATTGGGCTGTCAATTTCCCCCGCGTAATGCAACATGACTGAAAAACGGCAAACTTCGCAAGGCTATATTATCCGCATTTTACAACATTTCACAACGAAACTTTGGAATATTACTAATTTTGTGATGCTCTTTCAAGCTGTGATGAAATTTTTATCTAGACTTGTTGAGATCAAAATTTAGTCTAAGATGCAAATGGTCCATTCTATTTATTTGCCACCAAATACAAGGTTACTACATACAATGAAAAGAATTAACATTATTTTCTGATAACATCATAACTGCAGGTTGTCCAGGTTGACCACCAGCTGCTGCACGATAGTGCTTAACCCAAATAAAGTTTAGCGTTTGATTACTAAAAAAAAATTTCAAAAACGGCGTTTATATTTCAGTTGCTACGCAACGTGAAAACTCGATTCGAAAATCAGCTATACCATCGGGCACTTGGAGCCCGCTGTCAAGTACACCCGAACCAGGTCACGTGGCGAAAATCATGCGGGATAGAAATAACAATGACGTTATGAAGCTATTAATGACAGCGGGGCCAGAGCGGCCTGCCACACCCACTAGGTTATATAAACTAGCACCTTCTGAACAGCGGCAAAAGGTCATCACTGCTTACCAGGCCCCCACTTCTTCTCCGGTTGTACGGCCGCGGACTGGGGCGAGTGCACAGGGTAACCAAGGCAACAAGATGACGTCAGCGGCGCAAGATGGCGGGAATAAGTATGCGGCTATGAAGAGCGGTGTGTTTTTGAGAACGTTTCACACTCTGTATCGATGTAACAAGGCGGAGGATGAAATCAAGGAACAGTGGAATGACGAAGCAGGATTGGACATACAGCAAGGTAGGACGATGTCAACGTACAATCATGGACATAACTGGTTGAGACAACCTTCCCTCTGTACAAATGATATATTAATATTCCCCTTATGATTAATTCCATGTTGAGTCATCTTGCGCTTCTTAAGTCCCCACTCCTCCAACTCAATGTCGAGCTTGTGTCATGGTAAATTACCAAAAGTTGTTTCGGTGTTGTTTCCAATATTGAACGGGGGGAGGGGGCGGGGTGACAAAATTTGTTTTGTAAATGTTCATTAGCTTTGCAATATTGGCTGGAACGATCCGGCTCAAGGGTTAAGGGTTGCCTCTTGGATCTTGACCAAAAATCTTCTCAATCATTTTAGCTCAACCGCGAAACGTGGATTACGGCAGTTCAGACAAATATAACTTTCCCCCAGTATCTGGCCGCGCAGGCCACGAAGAAAATTACACCCACCAGTACCACCAACGAGCCTCGTCGTGTCGTCGCTATTCCGCGTGGAAAACCCCGATAACTTCGTCAAAAAATAGAAAACTTGCCATCTTATCTCGGTCGGGTAAAAATTCGTCATCGGGAACTCGTTCAAGTCGAAGCGCTGGCTACGAAGCGAGCAGAGAGCGAGGCGACACCAGTCCTTGTTGTAGAAAAACGTTTGCAAGCGTCTCGCAACCCAAGCAATTAGTTTCGAAATTAACTGTACATGTTGTGAAATAGTAAGGGGTGAATGTTTGATGTTTATTGCATATCTTAGCGTCTCAATGAGGCCAAGGGTTGGTTTGAGGCAAAACTATTATTGAATTGTTGTAAATTATGAAAGTGTAGTAGAGAATATTAAACGCTAAAATAAAGGGAAAGTTGTGAATTGTTGCTTTGAAGCCCGATACAGACGAGAAAGATTTTCTTTGCAAAATTTTCCAACTTGTCAGAATAAATTTTGTCAGAGGGCAGGCAATACATCCTTTCGATAATTACGTCACAACTACACTGTTTTCAACTTAGGACCACCTTAAATGGAATGGATTTCAAGTTTGTTTCTCACGGGCTATGGGGAGATCTAGAAGCAGAACATCCTTCTTCAACACAATCGTAAAAAAGAATTTTGGATTTTGACCAATAAATGTGCGAATAAGCTTTAACACGAAAATGAGGCTCCCGCGCTGCCCCTGGAGCCTCGTTTTCGTGTTACAGCTTATTTGCACATTTATTGGTCAAAATCCAAAATTCTTTTTGATGATTGTGTTGAAGAAGGAAGTTCTGCTTCTCTCTCCATAGCACGTGAGAAACAAACTTGATATCCATTCCATTTAAGGTGGTCCTAAGTTGAAAACAGTGTAGTTGTGACGTAATTATCGAAAGGGTGTATTCAACCAATCACTCAACAGTAAATTTATTTCAGTCTTATTGCATTCAGGTGGCAAAATGGCGCAAAATTTAACAACCTGTTTGCGGGCAACGAAACGCATCCCTCAGAAAAGTAGGGACATCATGCATGCACTCGATACATGATACAGATTACAGGTGCCCTTTCATAAATATTTTCTCAAAACGAGCAGGTTCTGTTGTAAATATAGCGACATGATTGCCATAAATAGAACATTTATTTAGGATTAGATATGTTTTGCCTTTTATACCATGTTTGAAATTGATTTCATCAACTGTTAAACGTTTCTTATTTAAAACACTGTTGAGGAAGAGGAAAATAACTAATACTGACACAAAACATCCTACAACCATGAAATAGGACGTACATTTATTAATATAGTAGGATTTTAAGATTTAGAACATACTTTATAAATACAGCAAGTACCCGCATTTCAGTAAACACTTTCGCCGGAAACATCAGCCGACATTTTATCCTCAACCTTTTACGACTTTCGACTCACAATGTTCACTAAATATAATTTAAAGTCTTCTTTATTTATATGAATCATGTTTTATTTTTATATCGCTTTTTAAAACTTTTTTTTGCGGTTTACGGTTGTTTAACCGTCCGAAAACCACATGCTGTCTGGTTCCGTGCGAAGCTAACCGCACACGCTCGTGTATCGACAAGCAAGACTAAACACACACGATTTTGACATGGCATGAAACTTTGTGGACTTGTTTAAGCAAGTGTGGCATAAAATGTATCAAATTTGAGATCTTTTAAGCAACTTTTTGTCATGCTGAAGTTATTTTCCAATACAAGCAAGCAGGCGAGAACGCTAAAATGGTGCACAGTAACTTCGTTCGAAAACAATTTTGCATTTATGTCAAAATAATTCTCGTAGCAAGTATTGTTGTTTATTTTCTATCGGTAATCGTCAGCTTTATCCCGAGCGCGAATAGACGAACCAAGTTTAAAGAAAATGGACAAAAAGAAACCAAACTGATGACCAGTTCGACATCAGTGAAATTGACAAAACTTGAAACTAAAGGTTACGGGACATCGAATTATGAATCGTCATTTCTCGGTCGGTGGACGGCTTTGGCGAAAGATATTTTTGCTAAAAATGCTGGACTAAACGTTAACACCGAACTTCAAGGCAAACTAAACGTCCATCGTTGGTATTCGATTTGTGGCAATACTGTAGACAATCTAAGGCGGCATATTTTATTTCCAAAGCATCCGAAACTACGCACCACAACTTCACTGCTTCGAATGCGGACAACGCTTCGCGATTTCGGACAGCGAATTTTTGGTTACATTCATCCGCAGTTAAGTGGCACCTATCAATTCGCAGTGTCGTCCGACGATTTTTCGGAGGTCTGGTTAAGTAATGATGTCACTCCGAATAAGACGAACTTGATCTGTCAAGTGGGTGGCATGTATAAGGGTGTTTACATCAAGGGCTCGACCAGACCTGGACAATTTGACAAGTATCTCAGTCAAATATCACAGTATATTTATCTCGAAGGAGGTAAGTGGAAAACTTGAGTTCTAAAAGCTAAGTAAGTAAGTGGGGATATGGTAATCATCTTTTGGACCATTTGCATTATAGACTAAATTTTGATCTAGACAAAAATTTCATCACAGCTTGAAAGAGCATCACAAAATTAGTAATATTCCAAAGTTTCGTTGCGAAATGTTGTAAAATGCGGATAATATAGCCTTGCGAAGTTTGCCGTTTTTCAGTCATTTTGTATTACAAACGGGAAATTGATGCCCCAACACCCGATTGGGCTGTCAATTTCCCGTGCATAATAAAAAATGACTGAAAAACGGAAAACTTCGCAAGGCTATATTATCCGCATTTTACAACATTTCGCAACGAAACTTTGGAATATTACTAATTTTGTGATGCTCTTTCAAGCTGTGATGAAATTTTTGTCTAGATCAAAATTAGTCTATGATGCAAATGGTCCATTGCACGGAGATATTTGAATGCTACGTTCTCAAACTAGGACATTACATTTTCAATTAACATGCGTATAGAAATCAGATTGTGTTGCAATTTTGTTGCCGTATTACCCCACCTTAAGGACGCCTCTGGCAGTCACCTTATGACTAGTCACCTACTGCTCTAAGGATCCTCAAACGATCTGGTGCCCCAGCCAATGATTTAATAACGGTCTTTTGTGCATTTATTCGTCCAGTTTTGGAATACGCCTCACCTGTATGGCATTTTTCTCTCCCTCAATTCCTCGCTGATCAAATCGAGAGTATACAAAAACGTGCATTGAAAATCGCTTTCCCCCAGTCCTCCTCCTAAGAAACACTGGCCTTCTTACACTTTACCAGCGAAGAGAGAATCAGTGCTTGTCATTCTATAAGAATATCCATCAACACTCAGACGATAAGTTGAGAACGCTACTTCCCAGTGCTATATCTCACAAATTCAGTCTAAGAAATAAACGCACTTATCCTATGTATAAGTGCAAAACTGACCGATATAAGAACAGTTTTATCCCAAAGTGTGTTAGAAACTGGGACCGACCATAGACATAACAAAATATTTTATAGTACATATCATTAATATAGTTTATATTATAGTAGTTTTAAATTGAACTTTTTGCAAATTTAAAAATTTTAATACTATCTATGTAATATCACGGTTTTTAAATTTTTATTAATTTACAATGTGGTAATTATTAAAATCAATCAATCAATGTCTGATCATGGAGCACAGCTACGGTGAAAGGGTCATGATCAGTTGCAACTTGGGGGCTAATCTTAACCCACCCTGTCAATATTCCCTGTGGAAGGAAACCAGAGTACCCGCCGAAGAAAACCCACGACTTTCGGTGGAGCGTTGACGGTTATAATTTAATGATTCAGATCTTTAATCTTTATTTTGAGTCGTGTGTGCGCAGCGATGCGAAACGTGAGAGAATGAACACGAGCACGAAGCCATTGAGGCAATCCACTAAAATGTCTCGGCATCAACTATTTCGCTGACCTCAGAATGACATTTCGTCAAAACGTTTTTCTTCAAGATTGGTTTAGAAACAAATTTGGAGTAGGGTTAGGTTAGTGTTAGGGTAAGGGTTAGAGTTAGTGTTTGGAGTAGGGTTAGTGTTAGTAAAACCGTTGCTTTGTTACGTTTTGTCACTCTGAGGCCAGCGAAATAATCTCTTCCAAATTTCTCATTGAACTTTTTTAGATCGAAAGTACTACTTTGAAATTTTACACAAACAAGGTGAAGGCCAAGGTCACCTACATATAGCGTGGAAAATGCCCGGATGGGAATACTTCACAATAATCACAAAGGAATTTTTATCGTTGTTTACAAAAGAGGAACAAGGCCATTCATTGGTCGATCCGGAAGATCACGTGCTCTCTGACGAAATGGTACTCGAACATCACAAACATGTTCGTTCTAAATATCATAACTCAGGTGGATACCGAAACTTTACGAAGCTTACCCGAGCAGAGGCGATACCGCTGTTACGTCATCCTCCAAAAAAGTTGTCCGTATGTAACAAAGAGGAGCGGCAATTTCCTGTTAAGTTGAAGCGGTATCAAGGTATAAGGTATGCGCACATTGCAGGAATAACACAACTTGTAATACTTCAAATCCGACTATGAAGAGGAGGACTTGAAATCTAGTCCAGTCTGAATTACCCAGAGGTGAATTACCCTTTTCCCAAAAGAGATCACATTGCATTCTGGGATCGTTTGAAGGGACAAAATATGTGGAGACAGGCGTAAAATATGTGAAAGAGTAGAAGTGTGTACTATCAAAAACCAACTTTTTAGACGACCAAAAATGAAATATTTCCTTTTTACATTAATCACTTAATTTAAATGTGTGCTGCCATATTTCTTGTCCCTCCAACCTGGCATTCGCGCAACTAGACCCAGGACTTTGGGAAATGGCTAATTCACTACTTAATGTGAGGTGAATTACTTTTGATCCAGTCCAAGGACTGAATTAATTTTGATTCAGTCCTAGGACTGGGTCAATATACTTCATCAGGTATCCAGTATTATCATGTGAGCAAAATAAAGCAATATGGTTGGCTAATTTATACTCATGAATTATTAATGAGTTCGAGATTTGAGAAACATTGTAGCGATTTGCTTTTTTCCATCTGAGCAGGGCCGCCGAGAGGGGGGGGCAGGGGGGGCAAATTGCCCTGGGCCCCGAGGCTCTGGGGGCCCCTAGAAATTTAATGTTAGAAATTTAATGGGCCCCAGTCATTTTTTCGGGCAAAATATTTCTGTTTTCGGGCCAAAATATTTGTGTTTTGGGGGCAATGAACCGAAATTTGGTATGGAAAATTGCGGAAAAGTCCAACGAAAGCAATTATAACGCACCTAAAAAGAAATTATTGTCCGAAAAATTTTTTTCCGGAAAATTTTTTTGCAATAGGGGCCCCTAAAATTTTTTTTGCCACGGGCCCCCGCCAAGCTTTCGGCGGCCCTGCCTCTGAGTAATTAAGCCTGCTGCTGTAAGTCGAGGGCAGATATTTACTTAGACTTCTCTGTGCTTGCTTGAAAGCCCATGTTAGTAAAGCATAGATATCTTATATACACTAGATAGCGCATCTCTTTTAGTAAAAATGAAGCCACGAATATTCCAGCGGTTACTCCCATTTGAATAGATGGCGGCCATGTTGGTCGTTCCCACTTGCTAATAAACGCTTAAAAACAACAATAACTTTCATCATTTGAAAATGTATTTGGAATAGGTTTAACTTAATGTTTAAGTTCCCTGTTTAAGAAATAGAAAACATACGAATCTTCTCATTTCATGGGAACGACCTGAGACTGCAATCACGGCTTCAATTTTTGAATTGCAGAATAATTAGATGCACTATCTAGTGTATATAAGATATCTATGAAGTAGAGTCGTAGTTGGTTCTCTCCTGGTCCTCCAGTTTCCTCCCTCGCCAAAAACAAACCCTTAGGCCTTATTTGCCGAGGAAGTTTCCATGTATCCATAATAACCTTATTTGCCGAGGAAGTTTCCATAATCGTACCCTGTGTAGAAGTATAACGCATGTTAAATAAACTCCTATGAAATTACAATGCTTTGTAGATTTTCCGCGTAAAAACTATCTTTATATGTGAGAAATAAAAGTTTTCTTTATTGTTAAAAATAGGTACGCACAGATTCCCAACGTGTTCCCGCCTGATGGCTCAGATTTGGTCGTTCAAATTTGCCAGAGTGCTAAAAGTCCTGCTGAGTGCAAAGGGAATCCATTATTGGAAAAAGAGAAAGCTCATTCAATTGCACGGAGATATTTGAATGCTACGTTCTCAAAGTAGGACATTACACTTTGTTGTGTCTCAAACGTTGGGTCTAGCGTTTTCCATTAGCAATAGCAAACAATTAGCAATTGATCTTAATTAGTAATTTTTCACACATTAGGAGTTACTCTCTAATCTCGGTGATCAGAGTGGAAGACGTTTTGGAAAAGCACACGAAAGATCAGCGTTATTTCATAGAACTTGAAATTTTCGACAATACTGACAATAAAACATGGCGAGTTGCCGAAAATGTTGTTGAGAAATCCGTCTCGGGTGATCTATGTTACCCTGTTGAGTCGTCATGGGAACCTGACGTCACTGTCTACCTCATCATCACGGTGAAGAACCAGGGTGTATGGATACGTCATTTTATCGACAATATACTGGACATACAAGAAGCGACTGGTGATGAGAATATTCATCCAATTATTGTGGATTTTGGGAGTAGAGATTCGGATACGGACACATACTTGAAGCGAAGTCGGTTGAAGCATTATTCAGGTGAATAACTCTCCAACAGGGGCGAAACTAGCCCCTTCTAATTAGGGGGAGTCTGCTAGAATTGCCCTGCGAAAGCCGATGATGCCCTGCAGCAAAAATATTTTGGCCACTATTTCTCCCAAAAATGTTGGCGAGCGGGGAGGTATGGGAGGTCGGACAAATTCCTGTTTAAAACATGCATGAAACCCTTATTTTTTTACCAATGTCTGTAAAATTTAGGTCTATAAATTCTATTCAATTCCCTCTGGATGCCCTGGAATCTACTTAATAACTCTACATTCTATAATTTAAAATCTTTCATTGCCCTGCCAATCCAGATGATTTGTACTTGGGGGGGGGGGTCACACCCCACACACCCTCAAGTTTCGCCCCTGCTCTCCATATCTATTGGTCTCAGACAGTAAGAGTTACAAGGCAGCAGATGGTGGTAATATCAACACTTTTAAGCATTCCATCTATTTGCCTCCAAAATTCAATAGTACTACATGACTATACAGGATACTTTGCAAAATTCATGAATAATTGATAAGGCCGGCTACAAACAAATCACGACGCGGTATTTAGGTCACATGTGTGCACTTCTAAACCACATTAAAGATCAGTAAGTCGTATTAGAGGGACATTCATGAAAATTATGAATACTAATTCAGAAGCAGGGATGTTTATGATGTTTATCAATCCTAATTCAGATTTTAAATGCACGCTATTGAAGCGTGAGATTGTCCTCATGTGCAGTGAATACTAATGTGGACGCAGGGGCGAAACTTGAGGGGTGTGTGGGGGGGTGTTGCACCCCCCCCAAAATACGATTGGCAGGGCAATCAAAGGTCTCTGGCAGGGCAATCAATAGGGCAATCAAAAGTCAATTTTTTGGCAAATTGAGTGATTTTTCGAAAATTTGTGTTATGTTCCGAAAAATATAGGTTGTCCGGAAAATTTTTTTGACCCCTAAAATGTTACACAACAGACCGGGGGGAGGTCGCAGAAATAATTTTTCCGGAAAAAATTTTTGGGTACCAGTCGGGAAATTTTTGGCAGGGCAATTCTGGTTTTGGCAGGGCAATTCTGCCAGACACCCCCCTAATTAAAAGGGGCTAGTTTCGCCCCTGTGTGGACGTGGACTTGTACATGAAGCCAAGTTTTCTTTCTCGTTTTCAGTGATTCACAAGACAGGTCATTTCTACAAAACAGCAGCCATAAACGAAGCAGCAAATTCGGTGAAGAATGAGAACAGTATTATATTCTTGCTTGATCTGCACCTGGATTTGCCAGTCAACCTTATTCAAACCGTTCGTAAGGTAAACACAAAACACTGACCTATAAACTTCATACTCCAAGATATCAAGTAGTTGTTCTGCTTATTGTGTTGCATTAGCTGTCAAAGATGCAAAGAGAAACATATTCACGTGCACGAAGGATGGGGATAAATTCACGTGTTCCTGCATTTCTAAAACAGACAAACATGGAAACGAGGCCATTGGGGCAAAAATGCGATAAACAATAAATTATATTATTATACAAACTATCTTTTCTTTTTCACGTTTGTGGATCACCCCTCTCTAATATAAATCATGATCAGACCAATAGGCCATTGCATTGCACCAGTGCAAAAATGTTTTAAAATTGAATTAGCAATCAGAACTGATTTTCTTCGTTTTTTCTTTTAAGCACACAATCCAAGGGGACATGGCTTTCGTTCCACTTTTAACTCGGCTCATGTGCGGCAGTTCGCCAGATTTTCCTACAGGTCACTGGGAAGAACAAGGATACGGGCTTTTTGCCATCTATAAATCTGATTGGTCGAGATTTGGCGGAATGAACGTGAAGGAATTTTCTGACCACTGGGGTGGCGAAGATTGGGAGATGATAGACAGAGTCGTCGCTAAAAGTATCTTTGTTCATAAATTGAAAATGCCGGGACTCTTTCATTTCTTTCATAATAGACGAGGGATGTGGGACAAAGCGGTGTGAAAACAGCATCATGGATACTACTGGAGAGACTGTGTTGTCAGTTTCAAGCTTAGTCTTCTATCAATAAGAAGAGATGGCAATTCATAGATTTCCAAGGACAACAGTTTGGAACTGATAGCGCTTCCCAGCATAAAGTTTACTTACTTGCATATAGTTACATGTTATTGTATATAAGATCTTAATTACATTTATGTTTGGGTATTTTGTACAAAAAGTTCTTTGTAACAGGAACACGTAAATGTCAACTAGTTTGTAGAAAGTATTTATCAAACTTAAAGACCATGTCAAGTCCGTAATGTAAACAAATCCTTTGTTTACATTTTGAACTGCTATATTTGTAAAATAAGACCTACTAACTGAATATCTAACACTTTTCTGGCTCGCTATTGTAAATGAATATAAACTAGAGTGCGTTTCAATTCAAAAAAGTTGGAAAAATGCAACATTTGGGCAATGTTTATATCTGTGGGTCCTCCTTTGTTATGAGAAGAACTGATACGCAGAACGGACTTGACATGGTCTTTAAAGCATTTTTTCATGACTTCCGTAGTACTCGAATACAAAACAACAAAACAATATGAAAAAAGTAGCCGATAAAGACCTTAAATTTAACAATCCACATTGATGCAAAAATTCCGCGCCCATTTTACGCCGTAATTCCGCACCCCCGCGTCATTAGCGTCGTTACCATGGCAACAGTGCTCGCCATTGAGCCTGAGTTCTAGTTTGAAAAATTGAAAATATTTCCAAAACAAAATTTCCAAAATGGCGCTGCCAACGCTTGAGCCATACTGGATGAAACATTACAAAAATAAAACAGAACAGTTTCATGTACAACGTACACAACATGAGTCTGACTTCAGAAATAAATGGGAAGAGAATAGTAGATATTTTCAACGCTCTAATGTTGAAGCTACGAAGAAGAGAGCGTGGCAATCGGACCAATGTTTTAGAGAGAGGTTTGAGGCTATAATTTTTGTACGACTGTTTATCGATTATACATTGTAATTGTAGAGGAAACTGTAATGTCTAAAGGCTAAGGCATCATTTTAGTACAAATGACTTGACCCAGTAAATAAAAAGGGATTATATGAAAGCAAGGCTGTGCAATATTTCATCTTTCTGTTCTGTGATAATTTTTTTTGCAGCATGGGTGCACTGGACGCATTATATTCCAAAAATACGAAAAAAGAAAACCTCTCAGAAAGAAGGAAGAAACTCAGTGAGTTATTGTTGAATGAACAGAAACAACTAGAGGTGAGTGTTTGAGGAGTATTCAGAACCCCACTGGAATACCAGGATTCAAAGTCTGTCTGAGAATCTAGTATCCCACTTCTGGATACTGGTAATCAGGCCTCGAATTTCCCTGAAATCAATCGACGGCAATGGCGTTAAAAATTGCCATAGAACGTAACAGCTGTCTACGGCAATTTTGGCAGTTTCCACGGCATTTTTCAAATTACTGTAATAAAACTTTAATTTTATTGTTACTGTGGGTTTTTGACAAGCTAGAAACATGTCTACGTATTTCTTTAGTGTGTTTTTTTTTAAGAAAACTGAGACTAAAATAGTGATTTACGCATGATTTGATCAACATCTGAATTCAAGTTTCAAAGTAGTAATGCACAGTGAATAGTAGAAAAATTGCACTATAGGGCAAAAAATCGCTGTCGTTGCCGCAGTGATCCACGGCATTTTGTTCTCCCTTTGAGCCCTGCTGGTAATATCATAAATTTTGGCATGGCTGAATCATCAAAGTAAGTATACCGTACATATCTCTGGTTGTTATAAACTGCAATAACAACAGGAGACTCGACAACTAGACCACCAAGTTGGAAATCAAAGGCTGGTTATTTTCAAGAAAGCAGACTCAGACTCGTAGTGTTCAAAGCTATTGGGAGACCACCGGAGACATTTGCATCATGCCTGTATATTTAGTTTTTTTGCAGGTAGCCAAAAAAAAATTGCAGTTAGCCCCGTGTGGTCCAAACTTGCCCGGCTTCACTTGAAGCTTGCAAATTGCGACAGGGGACCGGGCACCGTAGAAATTGTTTTGAGTTATATTTCATATTGTCAAAATTGAGTGTCTGCTAATTTGCTGAAACCCAATTGCTCGAAAATTGTCGTATATCAAGCCGACAAGATTGTCGGCTGATGAATAAAATTCGGTCACAGAACAGGAAGTTTTTGATGGCATCATTTGATGAATTTACGTCTTGAGTACGACTCTTATTAAATCTGGTTGGTAAATATTGCAAAATGTATTCGGAAAAAATTGAAATTTTCTACTTTACTTAATTTAACATGCAACCTTCTGACCAGGGATTGCAGTTAGCTTCAGGCACTTGCAGGTAACGCCGCTACCTAGGATCCCAACATTTGACAGGCATGTTTAGCATTATCCAAGTGTTTTAAATTTTTTATTATCCAATAAGGATACAAGTCATTCACATTTTGGTATCCAAAACCAAATGTTAGATCCTGTGGATATCGGGATACTAATGAACACAAGTTGATGAACATGGTAGCTTTAATAGTTTTGTTTGTGGAAAAACCACGTAAATTTATTACTGCAAAGCTTTCGATCCGTACGCCTGATTAACAAACAAAACTATTATATGTTTTATCGCCATGCAAACGTACTAAGAACTTATGGTAGCTTTAATTTTGGTTTTAATAAAATTTCAGGTAGAACTTCGTCAACACAGGTCAGCAAGAGGTGGACAAGTACAAGATATGAAAACTAGGTATATATCTTGAATTATTATATACGCAAGGTCTGGATATGAGGTATTCTGCAATCTGATTGGTTCTCTACTAGCAAGATATTAGCTCATATCCTACTAGTAGAGAAAAACAAAATGGTGGCTCAAACAGAATTTCCAACGTTTTGCGAACGAGAAAACAGCAAGTTGTTTGCTTTTTATAGCCTTAATGAAAAAACTCCCACAAATTGTTTACAGGTTAGCAAATGAATTTTTACAATTTAAAATGGTTAAAAATGTATATTTTTGAAAAAATAATCGGCCGAAAGAGCAAAGATAAAAACATAAACAAAATAAAAAAAATATTGAAAGTATCCAAAAAGCAAAGTCTGTGAATTCAGACCTTGTGTATATAATAAAACAGTTATTCCACTCACTCTCGTCGAATATGAGCGATAGCCGATTTGGCGCTACGCGCCTCATTGGCTATCAGCTCATATTCGACTCGAGTTCGTAGAATAACTGTTAAATATCACATAGATATATTTTAAGTGTTTGTCTTACTGGGTCATTCCAGAAAACATCCATACCTCCCCCACAGAGGAAATTGGAAGTTAACCCCCATACCCTAATGGGTCGTTCCAGAAAAGATCCATACTCCCCTCACAGAGGAAATTTCTGCCGTCCGGAGGGGGAGGGGAGAAAAAATTGTTTCTGATAATCGTAAATGTATTAGGACATCCGAAGGGGGTAGGGGGGTTAACTTCCTATTTCCTCTGTGGGGGTGGTATGGATGTTTTCTGGAATGACCCAATACACTAACTTACTATTATCAGAAACAAATTTTTCTCCTCTCTCCCTCCGGACAGAAGAAGTGTCCACCATGGAGAGAGTGTGGATAATTTTCTTGAACAACCCATTGTTTTACCTATTCTCCAGGGCTGAAGATTTAAAATCTGCAAGGGAGGAAAGGCGACAGAAGGTACTGAATTATTTACTCTTGTATGGTTACTCCAAAAGACCATCATTTGTGTAATACATTATCTTTTGTATTACAGCTTGCTGATGAGAAATTATATGAGCACTGGCGACAAAATGCTCCAGAACTACGTCAGGTGAGCAATACTATTTTTTGACAAAGATTAATGTGCACCTAGTGAACCTATTTTTAATGCAAATCTATGTACACATAGTGTACCTATTTTTAACCTTGGATCCATGTACACATATCATGCCTATTTTTAACCTTGGTTCCATGTACACGTTGCATACCTACTTTTCACCCTTGGAGCCATGTAGGCCTAGTGTACCTATTTTTAACCCTTGGAGCCATGTACGCTTAGTGTACCTATTTTTAATCCAAACAAATCATGACACAGTATTTAGGTCACATGGGCGTATACTTGTAAACCGCATTAATTAAAGATCAGTAAGTCATGTTGACATGTTAGATGGATGTTTACGAAAGTTTTGAATACTAATTCAGAAGCAGGGATGTTTATGAGATTTTAAATGTATAATTCTAATGAAGCGTGAGATTGTCCCCATGGGCAGTGAATACTAAGCCCTGATACTAATAAAGTAAACAAATAAATTCATTTTACAAATATATTAAAATATTTGCAACTGATCTTTATGGGCGTTTAACAATGTAAGTACCCATAAAGATCGATCAGCTACTCATAACTGGTGCTTAAAAGATTTTTATTACACTTCACTTGGTTGAAACTGAATATTGGAGTGGATGGATAATCCATGTGACGAGATATGCACTTTTTATACCAAACCAGAAATGATTGCGAAAAATGCAACACCAGACTAGGACTGTTCGGTATACCGATATAGCGAAAATATCGTTATTAAATCAATATCGGTATATCGATACCGGATATTCAACCATACCGAAATTTCCGATAT